TTCGGAATAGGTTTTTGCAGAGTGCCATTTTTTTTTAGGTTTGATTATCAGGTCATCGATCCTTTTGTATGTCGGTGGTTGAGTATACGGTGTGCAAATGTTCATGGTGGTTGTAAACGGTGAATAGTTTATAAGTTTGATAATGAAAATATGTATATTCTCCCTGACTTTCCCCAGTTTATTTTATTGTCCGGGTTGATTGTGGTTTCCGCCGTGCATTAAGTCTCTGACGATTAAGCGAGGTCGGCGATAACCCTGGGATTTCGCTTTAATCGACCGGTAGAGGGTGTTGTGCGCTCGATGGAGTTTGGGACGTGACATTATAAGTATTACTTGTTTAGTGAAATAATTTAGGAAAATTAACCTAAACTTTTCTACAAAGGAAGAAGGTACAAAGGGAAGATTTAAACTTAAAAGTTGAATAGTATTAAAGAGTTAAGGAATTATATAATTTGATGCTAAAAACTCAATTTACTTTTTTTATATAATAAGACTAAAATTTTAAACCATCAAACCAAGAGGAAATTGTGTTTTGCCAGCCACACCAAAGGAATTCCATTAGATGGAAAAAAAAGGCAATAAGATTTGTGAAACGAGGTAGTTAGGAAACTGAATCCTGACAAGATGGTCTTTCCATAGGACTGACATTCTCTCCAATACAACATAAGAAAGGACCTAATTAGTACCCGGCTTTAACTCTATCAAATTCTCATTGACCTTTCACATTTGTTCACTTGATTGATGGATGCCTTGGGCAGCAAATTTGAAAATTTAATGTAGTTTGCATGCGAAACTTTTGAGGAGGAAACGAGCGCTATGTAATTCAAAACTGTTGAATCTTGTCTTAATCGTCATTTGTCGGGACTATTTGACATAATCTCTTTGGCTTGGACAAGGACATCTCGTTGTTCCTGGATTGAGGGGAAATGCGTTCGACGGAATAAATTCTTAGATATAGGACCGCATTCGGAAGGGTTAGGGTCGCTATTTATGGGTCACTAAAATATTTATGCCCAATATCCCGATTCAAGTAGTTATTTATTTGATACCTCCTGAGAACTAGGAATTGTTGTTCTAACCTTGTGGGGAGATTTTTTTTTTTGGTCGAAAGAAAATTTCATTCATTAGTCAAGATCACTTCCAAGCAAAGCAAATCCCAAAGAGCTGCAAAACAAAACAAAACCAGAAAACAACAAGAGTACAACCTACAGTTATAAGCACGCTCTCTTTTTCCAAAAGATCAGATCTGTTACAACACCAAAAACACAATCGGTGGCCGGTCACCGGAACTAACTTCGAAATTGAGCTAAAGTTATTTCAGAATCACATACAACTCTGAACATTTGGAGATCTGTTGATAGGTTGAATTCTTTGGTGATTTCATTATATCTTTGATGATCAGCCCTACCAAGTGCCAACCTTGCTAAGAGGGATGGAGAGTTCATTAACGTTGAAAAAGAGCCTTGCTCATTCAATAGGCCAATTCCTTTGGTTGCTCTCTTGAAAAGTGGAAAACTAGCTCATAGGATGTAACGAAAATTTGCATCCACAGGGGTTTACCCTAGAAAAGAAATGAAGCTGGCTATGTATCCAAGCTAACATCAAAGAAAAGGCTAATAAAAAAATCAAGAATAAATTACATTGCATGACTTTTTTCTTTTTTTATTTCTAAAATGTTGCTAACATAAAATATGTAAAATTTTCAGAATAGTGAAATGATTTTACAAGTCGAAACTACTAAATGGACCTAATTAATTTTAGAAGAAAATGTAAAATATTCTTTCTAATTCAAAGGGAAAACTACTAAATGGACCTAATTACGTCTCAAAATCAATGGAAATAGCCGAGTTAATTTTTGTTAAGCATTCACATCTTGAATCATAATTTATGGCGCATTATGGTCTTAATCAAATTACTATTGTTAATGCAAATATTTTTCTCTTAAGAGCCACATAGATATCCAGTAATATCCCACACAATTAGTTGGAGTCGTGCTTTGTTTAAGCTTGGAGTTCAAGATTTAACATCATATATTGAAACCGCAAATGGATTACCAGCTTCAAATGCTTCTAGCTGGTGCTCCATTCACACATATGAGAGCTGGAGATGGCCATAGAGTTGAAGACCATATAAAGCTGCCTTCCCCTTCCGGTATCTACTCCTTTGTCGCAAGTCAATCATCTGATACCATATGTTTGCGATAAAACTATACTTCAAGTATCTTTTGAGTCAAATCCAAACCATAATTCCACTCGTCTAATCTTCAAAGAGACCAGATAAAAAAACCCTTTCAAATGCATCGCGAAACTATAAGGTGGCGAACATGGCCTTCAAGGCTATTCTAAGGGAGAGATATATAGTGGTTCCAACACGGAATTTGCTGCATCCGGACCAAGCTTCACCTTTACAAGACACTGTAAATTACCGGACAACAGACATTTCAACTAATAAAATACTTTTCAGAGAGTTGATTAACTACTCTATCATGCCCTTGCAACCATTGATCTGGTCCCATATCATCTTTTTCTTGATGATGGGCTCTCAAAAGAGGGAGGAAGATCACATAATCTTACGTGAGCCACATGAATAAAATCTTATACTAGTGTCACAATGATTGAGAATGGATATATCCGGTATTTATGATATGATAAAAAATTGCATACGTCCATAAACATAGAGTCCAACTGAATTAGTTGTTATTTTTTGCGACACAAGTATTTGTCCTTCGTCTTTTAAAATTTGAAACATTACGAACATAAAACTGTTGACATATCTATACTTTGTATGATGCAAGTTTATTTTCAGTGTAAGCATAAGTTTTCTATGGGAATTTTTTTCATGAAGGTTTGGTGCTGAAGTTATTGTTGAATTGTCTTGAATACTGCAGAAGAGAAATGCCAAAAGAAGCGTATTTGCATATAGGTCTTCGTCTCCACACATTTCAAACTGAAAACAACTTTTGAACCAGTTTTACGATTAACGAGGACTCAAAGCTAGCTAGCTATATAAACAGGCAAAGCCGAACTTTCGGGTCTGCACTTCAAACATCGTTAACCCTCTTCACCACAGGCATCCTCAAGGCCGATGTGCAAACTTTCCAGATGACTGAATACAACCTCTGCATGTTTAGAAGCTCTGTATACCTTTGAATTTGTGGCGTTCCTTCTATCAATTTGCATGAATCGACTGCCTCAAGATGTGCCCGTGATTTATGATTCTCAACTTTGAGGACCATTTTTTCTAGCACTTTAGCGTGTCCGAGAAGAAATTTAACCAATGGGAGCACACCCCTATATTTGAATCTTAAACAAGCATCCAACCCAAAAATCTCGACATTCCTGAGATGCCAAGACCAAAGCCTGAAGTTCCTCTTTAAATGCCAATAGCATTCGTGATCAATTCTGCAGAAGCCTGGGCAGAACTTACACTGCGCACATAAAAGGAAAAGTGAATATTTCAAAGAAAACATGATCTAGCTTCCGCATCTTGATGTTTTAATCACCTGAAACCATAATCATCCATTGTCAAAGTTACCAACTTAAACTGGCAAAAAAAGGAGTTGGTTAATCTCCAGCCTCACAGTAATTAGTTCAGTAGAGAAATCATATACAAGGGAACCTAATAGTAATTTTAAAAGTAGCAAGTTTTGTTGCTCAAGTAACTCTTCCTTGATGTTTTTTTCTCCCTTCATGGGAGCTTTTCTCTCCCTTTAATGGGAGCTTCCTCTCTCGATTTCGATCTGAGAGTCTTTCCACCTCCCCTATTGCGCCTCCAGTCCTACATCATCTCCACCACCCCACGATTTTGTGCTGTCATTCTTGTCGCAGCTTCTATATACTGCTCTCCCTTCATGGGAGCTTTTCTTTCCCTTTCATGGGAGATTCCTCTCTCGATTTCGATCTGAGAGTCTTTCCACCTCCCCTATTGCGCCTCCAGTCCTACATCACCTCCACCACCTCACGTTTCACCTTCGTTGCACCAAAATTGCGTCGTTGTCTTATAGTGGCGTTGACTGCATGTTCGACAAAATGCCTGTAAGAGAGAGAGGTTAGTATCACGTCACTGCAGTTTTTGGGTTTTAAGCATCTGTTTTGGTTGCTGCTATGACGTCATTTGGATTGACCAGCGGTTCACAGAAGAGATCAAGTTTTGTTGGTTAGAGTAGTAGTTGACTGGAGAATTGAATAGGAAGTCCAAACGTATTGAGGTGCCCCGAATATAATAGCCTCGAAGTGTCGTGGTAAAAGGGCTTGGGTGGCTAGACTTAATAAGCCACCGGCTTACAAATGAATATCTTAAGTTGGAACTGTCAGGGGTTAGGCACACCCTTGACAGTCAGAGCTTTGAGAACTCTAGTAGCTCAAGAAAGGCCTAATGTGTTGTTTTTCATGGAGACCAAAAATAACGAAAATGTGGTGCAGCAGATAAAGAGAAGAATGCACTTCCAGAATTGCTTCATTGTGAATCCAGTAGGAATAGCTGGGGGATTGGTAGTTATGTGGACGGACTTGGTTACTATAACAGTGGACTCAGCTTCAGAGAGACTAATCAATTTGAGATGCACATGGAATGGCAGTAATAAACCCATGAGAATTACTTTTGTTCATGCGCCATGTGTATTTCAGGAAAGACTAATTTTGTGGAAGGAATTGAAAAGCATTGAATTGAGCAATCATCTTCCTTGGATTTGCTTGGGTGATTTCAATGAAATACTCTATCACTGGGAAAAGGTTGGAAGGAGGACGGCTGAACACTATCGATTAACGGCATTTCAAGACTTTTTGGATGAATGTTCATTAATGGAAGTGGAATGTAAGGGGTGCGCGTTCACATGGGCAAACAATAGAGAAGGGGATAATTTTGTGAAAGAACGACTTGATAGAGTCCTTTGTTGTGTGGAGTGGAGAGTTCTTTTCCTAGAAGCTCAAGCCTATGCCTTACCTGCGATAGGGTCAGACCACAGCCCAATTTTACTGTCTCTATCGCCTGAACCTGTGAAAAGGAAAACAGAATTCAAATTTGAAGCCTATTGGCTTGAAGAGGAAGAGTGCAGCAAGCTGGTAAAAGAAGTGTGGAATTCTCCAGTAGCAGAAAAAGAAGATTTATTGAGAAAGCTGAATATGGTATCAGGAGCACTTGCTAAATGGAGTAGGAAAAAATTTTCGAATGCTCACAGACAAATCAACGCCTTAAAACAGGAACTTCAGATTATAACAAATATAACCGATATTCAGTATGACAGGAAGAGAGTCCACGAGGTGAAATTACAAATTGACAAACTCTGGAGACAGGAAGAAATGTATTGGGGAATGAGATCTCGGCTTAACTGGATAAAATGGGGAGATAAGAACACTCGGTACTTTCATGCAACAACCATACAAAGAAGACAAAGGAATAATATTTCAATGTTAAAGATTACTGAAGATCAGTGGATTCATGACACTAGGCTTCTTAAACAGAAGACTTTGGAGTTCTTCCAGTCCCTTTATACCTCAGTGGGACAAAGAAATTTCCAGCCGATCTTAGACCAATGCCCACGCATAGTTACGAGCGATATGAACAAAATCCTGACAGAAACAGTTACTATGAAGGAGGTTAAAGACGCTGTGTTCCAATTAGGAGCTTCTAAAGCACCGGGCCCAGATGGACTTAATGGACAATTCTACCAACACTACTGGGAGGAGGTTAAGCAAGATGTGTACAACATGGTAAAGGAGTTCTTTGAATCGGGTACGTTTCATCCTCACTTGAACAGAACACACATAACACTCATCCCAAAAGTTCCAAATCCAGAAAGTCTAGATCAATTCCGGCCTATCAGTTTGTGCAATTTTAGCTATAAAATCATCTCAAAGGTAATGGCAAACCGCCTAAAACCTTGGCTGCCAAACTTGATAGCGGAGGAACAAAGCGCCTTTGTTAGTGGAAGGCAAATACAGGATAACATTTTGATGGTGCAGGAGGTGCTACATCAACTCAGAACTAGAAAAAGAAAGAAGAAATTCCAAGCAGTGCTCAAACTAGACATGAAAAAGGCTTACGATAAAGTGGAGTGGGATTTCTTGGAAGCTTGTTTGCTGCAAATGGGATTTAGTGCAAAATGGGTATCATGGGTCATGCATTGTGTTACTTCAGTGTCTCTTAGCATAAAGTTTAATGGGGAAGCCTTGACCTATTTCCATCCCTCAAGAGGGATACGCCAAGGGGATCCTCTTTCCCCTTATATTTTCATTATTTTGGCCAATGTGTTATCCAACCTACTTCATAAAGCGGTTCAAGATGGAAGCATCACTGGGATCAAGTTGAATAGAAACTGTCCCACGCTGTCACACTTACTTTTTGCAGATGACTCCATCTTTTTCCTAGATGGGAAGATTAAAGAATGCCAAAATGTGGGGGCAGTTTTAAACCAGTATTGCTTCGCAACAGGACAAGCCATAAATCTCAACAAATCAGGGATTTTTTTCAGCAGCGAATGTCCAAGGAGTCTTCGCAGGAATATGGCAAATGAATTAAGGGTGCCGGAGATAGAAAAAACAGGAAAATACTTGGGGATTCCATCAGATTGGGGACAAACGAAAAAGCAAATGTTTGCATGGATCTTGACAAGAGTCAATATGAAACTCGAAGGATGGAAAGAGAAACTAATAACCAAGGCAGGAAAAGAGATACTAATTAAAGCAGTGGTGCAGGCCCTCCCACATTATGCAATGTCAATTTTTAAAATCCCCATATCCATTTGTCGTTCGATCGAACAAAAAATTGCAACATTTTGGTGGAAAAACAACGAATCCAAGACGGGGCTACATTGGAAGAGATGGGATGTTCTGAAAAGAAGAAAGGATAGCGGGGGAATGGGATTCAAGGATTTGATAACCTTCAACAAGGCAATGCTTGGTAAACAAGCATGGAGAGTTTTTCAAAACCCATCAAGTTTATGGGTGCAGCTTTTGAAAGGGCTCTACTACCCCAATAACAATTTCTGGAATGCAGGAAAGGGGTCACATTCATCTTGGGGATGGCAAAGCATACTAATGGGCAGAGAGCACATCTCCAAAGCAGTAAAATGAAGTGTGGGTAATGGAGAAGACATAAGCATTAGAAATGATCAATGGCTTCAGAGAGGAATAATTGGAGGTGAGGCAAGACAGGGGGAACCTCAGAAAGTGGCGGATTTAATTAACCAGGAGGACTATAGTTGGGATGAACAGATGATAAAGAGTATGTTCGATGAGCAGATAGCTGAGCAAATATTAGCAATTCCGCTAAGACCTAACGCTGAGAAAGACAAGCTAGTGTGGACCTGCTCCAAGTCAGGACAATATTCAGTGAAAAGTAGCTACAACTATGCAAGAGTGACGGATGAACAACAACAACCACACAGAGCCACATCTTCCTATCAACCACCAAAAGCACTATGGAATCTGATATGGAACCTGAACACCCCTCTGAAAGTCAAGTTGTTTATTTGGAGTATGTGCCAAAACGCTATTCCCACAGCAGAGAATTTGCACACAAGGAAAATCATACATGAGCCCTTATGCCCTCTTTGTCGCAAGCACCCAGAGACTGTAGAACATATCTTTCTTCTCTGTGAATGGACCAAACAGGTTTGGACGCACCCTGATTTGAACATTACATTCACAGATAAAAGCTTGAGACGAATGGAAGAATGGTTTCTAGAGAAAGGAAACAATTTTAACAAAAATCCCTCACCTGAGCTACTAGCCGAGATCGTATGGAACATCTGGAAGTCAAGAAACAATCACGTCTTTCGTCAACAGAACCCATAGCCGAGGTGGGTCGTGGAAACTGCCATGGCGTCACGCAAGAATTTCGAGAAGTGGAACCCGGGAAAGAAAAAACACAATCGACCAATCGCTCACTCACCTGCCATATGGAAGCCACCGCCGGAAGGTACCCTCAAAATTAACGTTGATGGGTCCTTTCTGGAAGGAGATAATGAAGGTAATGTCGCCTGTGTATGCCGAGATGCCTCTGGGAAGATCGTTGACGGTTTTGCAAAGAAGGTGCGAGCGTCTTCTCCGGCGCAAATCGAAACCCTAGCCTGTTGGGAAGCACTTCACCACTTTAGTTCGTGCTCTCACTTAAAGTACCAGCTTGAGTCAGACTGTAGCTGTCTGATAAGTGCCCTCACAGATCAAGATAAGCCATCTTGGCCAATGACGTATGATCGGATCGCGGGTGATTCTGCACGACCGAGAGTACGCGTGGCGAACAAATCCCGAACTTAACTCGAACGATTGCTACCTCCGGAACTAGCGATAAATCCTCGCGTTCTCCCGGTAATCGAGACCGTCACGACTCGAGTAACCCTAGGTCGATACGCGTAACTCCCTAAGCAGCCGCCCGTTAGTGAGAGATCCTAAAATTGTAATCGAGTAATTTTGATCGTAAAATTGGATCCGGACTTAGGCGTCGAATTTCGGGGTCGTGCGCGACTATTTTTATGAGGACGACGTCATTTTAGTGTGGCCAATGAAATTTGGGGTCGGTATGGTCGAAAAATGGAAATTCGGCCCGAGACCGGAAAATTACGATTTTGCCCCTAGGCCCATTTTTGGGTATTCCGAATTTTGGGGATTTTGAAAATTAAATTTGGGAATTAATTGTGGATAAATATCAGCCCCAAAAGATTGGACCAAAACGCCCTTGGATATTTTGGCTTGGATTAATGAGGACCAAGTGTTTTAGGGGCAAAATTGGAATTTGCAAAGTTCGGTCAAATCACTATTTAAGACCAATATTTCTCTCTCTCTCCTCATTTCTTCCCCTCCAAGCCAACACTCCCCCTCCTCTCCTCTCTCCCTCACCGAACCATCTCCCCTTTTTGCTCGGCCGTGAGGATCATCGCCAGAGCCGCTCGCCGGAGCAAGCCGCCACCGCCGTGCCGTCGCTGTACGCCGATCACTGCCGCCGTGAGCCACCGGCCAGCCGTTCCCCCTTCTCGCTCTAGCCGAGTTAGTCTAGAGTTCGGGTAAGTCACGCCCTAAACTCTATTTAGAATATCGGGTATTAACGGACTCATTTAGGCGCGGTTTAGGGTAGTTTAGGGGTTGATGGAAGTGATTGTAAATGGATTAGAGGAGAGTTTGATCCCTTGTTGTGTTTATGGATGTTCAGGTGGCTGGTGGATGATAGTTTGGACATGGTGGAATGAGTTTTGGCAGTTGAAATTCGGTAGAAATCAATTAGGATTTGAATCCTTGAGGTTTGGTGTGATTCTCGGATTCGCGGTTACTGTACCCGTTCGGTTTGCTATTTTTGTAGAGAATTTTGTGGGCCGAATTTGGGGAAATTTTCTTCATAAAAGTTGCTCCCAACATCTTGAAGTATAACATATTTTAAATTTGGAATTTTTGGAGGCCATTTGGATCGCACAAAAACCCATTTTCAGACCGTCTTAAAACTGCCCGGAACACTATTCATCCCGACCTTCTTGTCTTGTCGAATTTTTATAAAATTTTCCAGATCTATTTTCAATAAAATTCCTTCACAAAAGTTGTTGGTGACTTTTAATTCTATGACATATAAAAATTTCAAAGCTTTTCAAGGTGATTTGTGTGTTGAAAGAAATGTATTTTGAGGACAAAATAGTCTGTTAGAGCGAACTGATTCTGGTCTGATTTCGAGGGACAAAAAGGCATGGTTGCAGATTGAACCGGATTTCGTGTTCTTCATAAGAAATGTTTATCAGGATGTTTGTTATGATATATACAAAATTTAGAATTTTTGGAATTCGTTTACTATTTATTTTGATGGGATTTCGGTCACTGTGTAAACTGCCCAGATTTACCCTGATTCTATGGATGTTCATTTTTATGAACGAGAAATTGTATGTGACTGCGTGCCAAGTATGTGTGGCCGTGTGGCGTGATTGTGTGATGGTAATGTGTGTTGGCGTAAGGCATGTGTGGCATGGGATTGTGTGGCCGTGTGTGATGTGTGACCGTGTGGCACGTGTGGCACGATGGTATGAGATGATTGGAATGGTCGGAAAAGTGGTACCCTGAGGCGTGTTCGTTTACGCGGGGTAGGATCCATCCTGAGGCGTGTACGTTTACGCGGGACGATACCATCCCTGACGAGGTGACGATGCCCGGCCCGACGGGATGACGATGCCTGACGAGGTCAGAAGACCGTTGGCCTGATGCGTTATATGCGGGCGCGGTAGTGAAGGCAAGTTGAGTGTAGGATTTCGTCCTGAGGCGTGTTCGTTTACGCGGGACGATGCCGTCCCTGACGAGGTGACGATGCCCGGCCCGACGGGGTGACGATGCCTGACGAGGTCAGAAGACCGTTGGCCTGATGCGTTTTACGCGGGCGCGGTAGTGGTGGAAAGGTTGGGAGTGAGCTGGACTTGGTCGGACGTGTGAGGATTGCGAAAGTTGATGCATGGTGTGAGTTAGTGTGCGAGTGTGGTTGTATCGTGTGATGTAGTGCTCGATTATAGGGTAAAAACTACTAGGCATGGTATGAGACGTGCCCAAGTGGGTTTTGCCTTATAATCGAGGCACGCGCGATTGTGATGCATTGATGCATGTGAATTCATATTACATGCTTTGGTGTTGCGACATGAATGATGCATCATTGTGGCATGTTGGCTGTATTATTATCTGACGTGCAGGGAGGTGTATGAACAATCTCAGGTAGGTTCGCGTGTGATCGTTAGTATGATTGGTTGTTTGTGTCAAGTATGTGTTGTCTGGAGGTACGTGATAGCCTAAGTAGGGTTTAGGGGTGTACTTATTGAGATGTAATCTCATGGTTGTTTCAACCAAACATTTCAGAACCCCGGTCTGATCAATGAACCTTCCGCCGCCGCCGCAGCGTTTTGAAATACCATTGCACACCGACATTAACGTGGTAGAGTACCCGACAGACGAGTAGGAGACTCAGGAGGATTTAGATTCAAAGAACGAAGAATCAGACTCAGAGTGGACGCCAGGTAGAGGGCGTAGGGGCAAGTGTAGGGGTTGTGAAATAGACTTTTGAAGTGTACTATTTTGGTGATAGGGTACCCAGGTTATCGATCCTTTTTGATATCGGTGGTATGTAGTGTGACGGTGCGGTGTGCTGGTATATATGTGGTTTTGTAAATTATGGATATTATATAAGTTTGAATGAGAAATGAATATGTGCATTCTCCCTGATTACCCCAGTTATTATCGTCCGGGTATTGGTGGTTTTCGCTGTTGATATAAATCTCTGATAAGTTTCATTTGGGTCGGCGATACCCTGGGATGTCGCATCATTCGACCAGAGAAGTATGTCGCGTGCTCGAAGGGGTTCGGGGCGTGACATTTTTCATATAATAGTGGTATCACTTAAAGCGATGAATGAAGCAAGTATTTTCTTCGATAAAAAAAAAAAAAAAACCTAATAGTAATTTGTTCATCAATGCCAGTGCAATCTTCTCATTGTCACCATCACAGTGGTAATTGTCGTTAAACTTCAGGAGCATTATACTAATTCATCAAATCAAGTAGAAATAGGAATGCAGAGACTTCTAATACTTGATAAAATGAAGACAATTACATCCCTTTGCATGATTAAAAGGTACAGTGCGAGGGAATACCGAGATGTCGTTAGAAGATGGCTTAAAAATTATAACCAGCTTCTCCAGATGCTGTGTGCTTGCTAACATATTTGGCACAGCGGGAAAGCTGAATTGGTAAATGGGTATGTGTAGCGTCAAAGACTTGCAATTCGGCAACAAAACCTGCGCCTCCTTTACCTTCAAAAGTGATAGAACCTAACCACATCGAAAGGTAAAAATCACAGACATGAAAAGAAAAAAAGGGTCATATGTACAGATAAAGATTCATAAAATCAATTGCGATTACGTTTGCAAAGTATAACTTGGAATGACGAAATACAGAGATTAAACTTCTCTTAGGTACTTCACAAGTCACAAGGCAGTACCGTTTGTTCTTTCAAAAATTCCATCAAGCAAATTGATTGCTGGTCACCCAGTTTTGGCTGAATGTCCACTATTATAAGAAACCTGGAAGCAAAAAGCTGTCTTGAAGGCACCAAGCACCGATAAGAATTCGAATAGCATTCTGCAGCTTGTGAGGCAATTCCTTTAGCAGGCAGCAATCTAATTTGGCTGGACCATCAATATCCAACTCGGCTTCAACTAAAGACGGTGCTTCAAAAGTTTCTATTATCTCATGAAAACGAGCCCCACTCACACGCAATGACAGCAAACAAGGAGTCGAAATCTCCAATGGGCAATCCACCAGAGAAACATCAATTACCAACTCTCTCAAACTCCTCGAATGAATTTGTTTTACACCCTGGAGTCCTATCAAATTCAAGTATTCAAGAGCAGGCCTGCCCATCAAAATGTTCCGGAGCACATCACCGCTCACCGTGCCAATGGACAAGGACTTAAGCAAACTCCAACTTATACTTTCGTGAGATGAAAAATGGCAGGTTCTCAATTGCAGTTCCGTCAACGAAGAGCAATCATAAAGGAATGGAGGTAGAGGCAATGACCAACACTTAAACCAAGTATCCACGTTGAGAAAAAGCTGTTCAACTTGATGATCAACGGCAAAGTGAAGCCATGAATAAATAATATGTTCACAGACCCGAAATAATCTGACGTCAAGGTGGAACTTTTTCACCTTGCGCCGTGCGTAGAGGGTCAAAACCTCGTCCACAAACCTATAGTCAGCATAACAGAAGACGGAGAGCTTGATGTCCGAGACGGTTGTCCAAACAGACCGCCACCTTTTCAATAAAACACGAGTTTTGACGACATCCCTCATGGTCAGAAAGGAGAAGATGTGATGGATTAGGCATTCTGGCAAGAGACTCATGTAATCCTCATCATCTTCTCGTCTTATGGTCTGCATCGAAGTACCTGCCATGGACCATGAATGGATTCTAGGTTTTTTTTCTATTTGGTGAGTCTGCATGATCACCCTAATCGGGCAAGGGACTCGTATGATCCTCTTCACGCCAATTCCGTTTTGCTTGCTCACGGTAGAATACCGAAGGAAGAAGTACAAAGACCTCCACTTTCCTTAATTCGGTAATTGTAAATAAAGGAAAAAAAATTTAATGCGTCGATTACATTCCTAACTTAGTCTAACCGACCAATCTACTGTTGCATTTGAATTTGGTAACTATCACTTTTTATCAGTTCATTGCTCCATGTGTAATTGCCACATGATGTAATTGCTATACAAAACACTTACCGACAAAAATTAGGCAATTTGAATCTTATCATCCCTTTAGATTTGTTATTTGTAGCTTTCATGAGCCTCATCGCTTTTTCCTTCAATACTTTTCTTCTCATCCAAACACGGAGTCTTATTGCTCGGTAAGCGTTCTAGGCAGGAAATTAACATTTGAAAGATTATGAAAAATCGCTTTATGACAAAATATTTCTTTCTTTCGATAAACAAAAAGACAAAAATATTTCTTTCATTAACTAATTAAGAAATGATTAATAAGAATAATCGATACAAAGAAATGGCAATGATATATATGGAAAGAGAAAAATATTTCAAAACTAGAAATTTTTTAGGATGGTTGTTGTGGGAAAGATTGAATTCAAATTTTAATACCGGAGTTAATTTAGGCATCCGTGCATGGACGCAATAAGTGTAAAATAAGTAATTAAGAATATTTGGGGAAGAATGAAATTGATTGAGATTCTTTAAAATATGATGTAAACGTAGAGATAAGTGACATTAACAATGCTAACGCTAAATAGATATATGAAAAATAACGACTAAAAGGTAAAAAAAAATCAGAAATAGCTTTTATTAGTAGAAGAAGACATAATTAATGGGCCATAGAAAACGAACATTTTACCTGGAAGATACAAGTTTGAAATGTCATATATACATTATATTACGGTACCTTCGCTTCTCTAGTGATTTCTTTGAATATTTTTCTGTTTCTTCCACGATTACTTATGCACATGTCAAGGCCACATTGTATACTCGAAATACGAGATACGCAGCACTGTACGTTGGAGAACGGATCCACTCCACACTTTCCCTTTAGTCTAACGTCAATAGTTGTACGTACTTATTCTTTCTTCTCCAGCAAAACTAGAACACATGCATTGAGAGTGAAGGAAAATAGAAAAAGGATCTTTAAATTTCTTGAGGAACAAGATAACATGTAAATGGTTGGATAGGAATTTTTGAACAGCAAATAACTAGAGGTATACATGATCCATTTTTGTAGCATAAATTCAATTTTATTGTAACAGGAAAGGATAAGAGAATATCCATGACATACTCGACGATTTTCTTGAATTCAAATTTCGAAGGCGGGATTTGGTGCATTACTTGATAACTATCTTGATTATCATAAGCAACAATTGAGTACCTCTATTCTTATGTATGGTTCCTTTTTATTTCATTATTATAAGTTATGGCTTTGACTTTTATTCTTATGTACAGTTCGAGTTTATTCCAGACGTAAGTATAGATTTTTCATGATTTTTCTTTGTGAAGGTTATTGTCGGATTTTACTTTATTAATAGTTGAGTATTTCAAACCGCCGTATAAAAGAAAGAAGAAAGGTTTTTATTAATGGCGACATTGCACGTTAAACAGAAGACGAAAGACCTAATTACACCAATAAAAAATTCATATGATATTGTACATGGGGCAAAAATTTAGGCACTTTTTACTATTATTATCCCCTTGAAAAAATCATGTCACCAGTAGATAACGTCTATTGCCTTGCCGCAATAGGTGTAATGGCCTAATTACAACTCCTCGCTACTTCTTTGTCAACGCACCTTTCTCCCGCCCTTGTCTTGTTTTGACAAAGATCTACTTAATTTGAAGTATCGCTTTTGTTGACTGAAATATTGCCTATGAAAAGAGGAGAAAAATAAGAAAAATAAATATGTCAAGGAAGAAATATATTTGAAGTTTTGTGTATTTAAGAAAATAAACCCAAACTCTTTTACAAGGTAGGAAGGATTTAACTCATCCAACACATGACAAAGATCTAAATTTAAATTTATAAAGTGTAAATACTTAATCAGTTAAGATTCAAGTGTTAAAAGTCAATGTGCCTACAAATTACAATTTCATGCATAGTTTTACTATGGTGCAGTTATCACTCAATCAAATAATATGTATGGGTCTATTTATGGATTTTATTCATATCAGCTTGAAAAAGAAAGTATCTTTTAGATTTGCTGAATGCTATAAAAGATTTAAATCTTAAAACATCTAACCATGAGGGGTCTGTATCTTGACAGCCAAGAAATTAAAAAGAAGGGATAAGATTTGTGAACTAACTTGTTGAAAGAGGAAGTTAGATTGGGGCAATCCTGCACCAAAAAGGAAATTGAATTCCCCAAAGTTGTACTTCCTCACATAAGAAAGGACCCGCCGCTGTGTTTCGAGGAATAAATTCATCAAGGAAGTTGCACACAAGGCAAATTCATCATTCGATCTGCGACGAAGTAATGGCGAATTGGGAAGAACTCCCGCAAGAGATCCTGGAACTCATCGCTTGTCGATTAGCCGTGAAAGACTATTTAGCTTTCGGAGGGGTGTGCACATCGTGGCGGTCCGCTGCAACCAAAGAGAAGTACAAGGCGATGTTGGAAGCCCCGTGGCGCAAGACTTATGCGCGCAAGCAAATAGCTGAATTCTCCATCCCCTCTGGAGGAACAATTTTCCAGTTGCGAGCTTCTCGAGTTGCGACCATGTCTCCCCCGGGATGGCTACTCGTGTTAAAGGGGGACCGCCACTGTATCTTCAATCCGCTTTTGGGCAACCGCATCGAACTCCCCTCCTTGCAGAAGCTTCGCTGCAGGCCACCTCTCCGTGCGGTGGACCTTGATTGGCTAAAGAGGCTCCAGCGCGGCCCCAACAGAATCCACACGATCGCGTTGTCCTCAAGCCCTCTTTTGTCCAGGAGCTACACAGCCATGATCTCTATTCATCGTGATCTTATGGATCACGAACCACTAGGGTTTGCCTTTCTCAGATCAGGAGAAGATGCATGGACGCTAGTGAGTATAGAATCACATCTGCCTCGGTCCAGCGTGGTTCGACTCGTTCATTACAACGGGCTATTTGTGGCCTTGGATGCGCATAACCGAATAATGACTCTTAACGAGAGAAAGGGTCGCATGCAATTGCAACTAGCTCTAGGGAAGAATTTCCGCCATTGTGGGTATCTCGTGGAATGTTTAGGTTCATTGCTGGTGGCTTGGCAGATAGAGGGCGAAGGTGATGCACCGGTGATCCGAGTTTTCAAAGTGGATTTGAAGAAGGGAACTCTGGAAGAGGTCAAGAGCCTGGGGAACGTGTCTCTCTTCTTAAATTACAACTCTTCCTTCTCGGTGGAGTTCAACGCCAAGTACCCCAAGTCTTGCTTGAAGCCGAACCACATCTATTTCATAGATTACATAGATAAGAAGAACAAGATTTACAGCATGGACGACGGAAAAGTTGAGTGGCATTGTGCTGGCGAATGGTTCCAACCTGATTTTTGATTTTTGTACTTCGTGGAATTTTTTCAATAGAAAGATTTAGATGTCAAACCAACTCGATCGGTTTGGCCCATCTCCACCCTTGATCATAAGGGCCCTACAGGACACGATCAACGGATCAGTGAGTACAGATATATTTTCAGGGCGGTCTGCAAAGAATGTTCCTATTTCCTATAAAATTATTCATGGCTAACTTTGCTTAACTTGCTTTAATAAATGCCAATTGTAAGAAAGGATCTCTAGCGGCTTTGTTTCCTTGCGCCTATTCTATCGACCCCAAACCAAGAACCGCTCGGATGCCAGTTTGGTCCAGGTTCTCAATTCCTAAAAGTGGAACCATAGTTCGAGCAGGATCGAACCGGACTGGACCGACTATATATACTTTTTTTATGTTTTTTATTTCTTCAAAAAAATTATTAAAATGTAAACTAAATCCTAAGTGAACTCCATTGACATAAATTCATTGACAAAAATTAGTAAAATAAACCTTAAGTGACCAGTTCCATTGGACATGATCGGACCAGGAACCGATCACCCCTATTCAGCAGCAACGATAGGTACTTTAGTCATTGGATTAAAAGAAAAATCATCCAAAAATATGCGATCATTAGTTTACCCATATTTGTAGTAACCATCTGTTTAGATTTTAATTTTTGATATATTAAGTAGGAGAAACTAAAAATGAATTTAAAAATTAAGGACATGTGCTCATCAAGAATAAAATTGGACATTTGTTAGGTAATCGCCTAAGGATATTCAAAATTTAATTATTAATTATATGTATTGTCCTCTTTACTCTTTTATAGTGAGATGGGGTAAGGATATTTTGATCATCTAAAAATTGGTTATATATAATAGAGATAGATTTAGATAACTGTAGATTAAGAGAACTTAGCAACTTTATCTAATTTTTTGCAATTAATTCTACAAGAAAATGTAAAATATTCTTTGAACATAGATTATTGGACTGCATGGAACGATTGTGAGAAACCTTGGATATCTAACTCGGTGATTGGTCGATTTAAATCATCATATGTAATTCAGAGGGAAATCTACTAAAAAGACCTGATTACATATCAAAATCATTGTGATGGAAAAGGCTGACTTACTTTTTGTTAAGTATTCTCGTCTCGTACCATAATCCATGGCACATTGCAATCTTAATTAAATTACTATCATTAATGCAAATATTATTCACTTAAGAGACATAGATACCTAGTAACCCACACACATAGCTGGAGTTGTGCTTTAATTAAGCTTGGAGTTCAAGATTTAACATCATATATTGAAATCGAAAATACATTACCAGGTTCAATTTGTATGGTAATTACACAAGTGTCACAATGACTGAGAATGGATCAATTCGGTATTTACCCGCCTACTATGAGATGATGAAATTGCGTACGTGCATAAATTTAGAGTCCAATTGAATTAGTATTTGTCTTTTACATTTTATTTATACCAAGTCTCGCGACACATGCATTTGACTTTTTTTTCGTTAAAATTTGAAACAGTACAAACATGCAACTGTTTACATATGTAGATTCACATGCAATTTAATATTTACACTTCACAAAGCTTAAACAAAGAGGCTCTTAATTTGTTTCATTTATATCTCCATAGAGTATTATCCAAACCTTCGGTTCAACTAATCCTTGGGGATATACGTTAATCCATGCTACCACTTGCTAAGTAAGGCGCCACTCATAGGTTGATGAGCGTGCCCGCGGGGGTTACCCTAGGTGAGATAGACTATGATTTAAATAGGGGTAATATCCCTAGGGAAAATATGCTTAACCACGCATCTAATTCCTTAGCGATAATACCCCTGATTTTGCTTTGTGTAATTGAATGTGAGGCTTATAATAACTTTAGTGAAAAGGCACACACGTATAGACGTGGGAAAAAAAATCACGGCAAGCTAGTTTTGAAATTTGACCAAGCCAAGACAAGTTCTAAAAGTTCTAAGAATTGGTTGAATCTAGATTGTCGGTTGTGCAGGTAGCTGTCATCCCGAGCAGTTTGCATGCAGTCGATAGGACTCTCCAACTCTTGAGTGGACCTCTCCTTATGCCTCAACCTACGGCGCCAACCTTGTTAACTCGCTCCATATTCTTTTTGCCAATCGAAAAAACTCAAGATTCATACCTCAACACAATGTGTATCCAGTCAAGCAGTATCATTCAATTATTTCGGCACCTTTTCTTTTATACACAGTCATATGATGAAGGATTCACATTGCTTCTCTTTTTGTTCTTTCTCCACTTCAGTTTACTCACTAAGAATCAGGATTTATTTTCAATAGACTTTTTGGAGTCAGCATTGATCAGATATTTGGGATACACAAAAATATTTAATATGAGTTCGTCTCCCTTATAAAATCCATACACGGTTGTTCTTCACATCTTGCAACTTTAATCAAGTTCATTGTAAGCCAATGCTTCAATTGTTTACGAATATAATAACCAAATCTAAAATTGGGTATATGACAACATCAATATAAAAAAGTACACTTAAAATAAGTTACATCCATTTAATCTCTTCTTTATGAATTAAAATTAAATATCTTTACCATTAGAATATATTAATAGAATATACAATGGATATAAGTAGATTTGAATGCATATCAAGCAAACAATCCTATTGGTTGATTGCACCATGTTAAGTCTTTATCAGATGCATAAAACATATATTTTTTATTTTTGTGGAGATATGGAAGGATAAGTATAGCAGAAAATTTTGAAGTTCCTTGTTATGATATACGAGTCTCGACCATAACCTAAGGAAGCAATCTCAACATTTAGGGTGATCAGGCAAAGGTCCATGCTTCACCGAATAGAGAAAAACAGCAACCCTAGAATCCATTCGTGAGCCATGGCAGCTGCTTCCTTGAAGACCACCATATGCCGAAAAGGTTATGAGGATCACATCAGTCTCTTGCCCGATTGCCTAATCCATCACGTCTTCTCCTTTTTGCCCACGAGGGACGTCGTCAAGACTTGCGTGTTGTCGAAAAGGTGGCGGTCTGTTTGGACCACTGTCTCGAATCTCAGGTTCTTTGTCTCTTCTTATGATGATGCATTTGTGGACAGCATTTTGAGGCGCTATATGTGGCGGAGGGTGAAAATATTCCACCTTGACGTGGACTACTACCACCCCAACATTGATTCATGGGTTCACTTTGCGATAGATCATCAAGTGGAAGAGCTTCTTCTCAAATTGAATATTTTGTGGTGGGATATTTGGTGGAAGGGTTACATATTGTCTCCGTTGCTTAATAATTGCTCTTCTTTGACTAAGCTATCTTTGAGAGGCTGTCATGTCTCATCCAGCGACACCATTAGTTGGAGTTCACTTAAGTCCTTGTCCATTCAAAACGTGAGTGATGATGTGCTTAGGAAGATTTTGATGGGCAGCCCTGTTCTTGAATACTTGAAATTGATCGGATGTCGGGGTGTAAAAGGAATTCAATCGAGAAGTTTGAGAGAGTTGGTGGTTGATTCTACTGTTGTGGAATCCCCCTTGGAGATATCGACTCCTCGTTTGCTGTCATTGCGTGTGAAAGTGGATTTCTTTTATGAGATAATGAGAATTAATGAAGCACCGTCCTTAGTTGAAGCTGAATTAGACTTTGACAGTCCAGCCAAATCAGATTGCTGCCTGCTAAAGGATATGCTTTGCAAGCTGCAGAATGCTTCTCAAATTGTTTTTGGTGCTTGGTGCCTTCGGGTGAGCATAACCATCTTGCTTCATAATGAACATTATCTTTTCCATGTAGCTTTCACTTAGGATAGCGGACATTATTCTGCCAATGCTTATGGATGTTTATGTGTTATATTGGTGCAATTTTCTATGAGAAAAAAGTACTGGTTTGTGATGTATTTGAGAGAGTTTACTCTATATTCTATCATTCCAAGTTATACTTTGGTAATGTAGTAAATATAAGGATGTGACCTTTTCAAACTTTGTTTTGGTGATTTGGCTCTATCTTTTGATTTGGTTAGGTTATGTTGCCTCTGAAGGTGAAAGACGTGCTGTTTTCGCTGCCAAATTGCAAGTGTATGACTGTACACATTCCCTTTCGCCAATTCAGCTTTCCTGCTGTAGCAAATATGCTAGCAACTACACCAAATTTGGAGAAGCTGGTCATTATTTTTGAGCCATCTGATTGGAGCTCTCTATGGGTATATTCCTTAAACTTCAATTCACAGGTTTAGATATATCAAAGGATTAATTGGAATGCACCATCCAAAATCTCTCCCTTCCTTTTTTCCTTTTAAGTCCATGAATTAGTGAAACTAGTATAATCCTCTGAAAGTTTCACAAGTGTCGCAGCCTATGTTTCAAATTCTCCCTCTTTAGTGCATCGAAAGTTTCACTGGCAATTTCATGGAGTCTTTTTTTTTTTTTTTTTGTTGAAGGCCGCTGTGATGGTGGCAAAGAAAAGACTGTGCGTGCATTGGTGAACTTGAGTGCCCAAATTTGGTTTCCCTTGTTTATAATCTCCTCTAATATGATAGTGTATTGCTACAGAGCTGATTTGATGATTGGAATGTTCACTTTGTCTTTTATCCATGTGCAGTATGAATCTGACTTAGACTCTCGCAATGTTGATCATGAGAGCTATTCGCATATAGAGAAGAAGTTCAAGCATTGGGCTCAGCAGCTCAAGAATGTCGAGATTTTTGGATTTTATGGTTGTTTAAGATTGAAATATGAGGAAGTGCTCATGTTGGTAAAGTTTTTGTTCGAACATGCATTTATGCTGGAAAATATAGTCATTAAAGGTGAGAATCGTAATTCACAAGAAGATCATGATCTTGAGGTAGTTGATTCATGCAAATTGCTTGAAGTGACCCGGCGACTTCAAAAGTGTCACAGAACTTCTAGGCATGCTAGAAAAAGGGTATGGAAAGCGCAAAAGAAAGGAGTCAGAGTAACAGCAAAATGTTTGTCCATCAGCCGTGAGAATGCCTGATTGGAATAGGAATACAGCAAGCCACAACATCAACTAGCTTGATCTATTGTTGGTAATGTCTCATGTAAGTCTTTCAGTTTTTTAAAGCAAGTTTTGGAATTATATTTTGTTTCAGAATTGTTTTACAAGGTTTAGTAACGTGTTGCTATAAGAAATTCCCCCTTCACATAAGTAAGGTCGTTCTAAGGAATCCATATTAAATCACATGACAGTGACAATAAATTTGACCATAAAATTTTGTGCTGTTATCTTTGTTAAAATATTCATATTAATTAATGAGTTGATTCAATTGAAGGATATGGTGGTAATCTTTACATTTTCACACTTTCTGCACTCTCCCGCTGTCTTCATCACTTTCCTTTTGTCTTCATGAACCATTGATACATACCCCTACTTTGTCCACTGTCTTTTTTTGATATTGTGAGTGAAGACAATAAGAGCGCGTAAGTATATGGCATTGGTAAAAAAAAAAATTCTCAAGTTTTTAGTTTAATATTACTTGAATGGAAATGAAATTGAATGAATATGACATTGAAGAACAATGATCGAATTAAAGTATTTCTCTTATTTCGTTATGGAATTTCGATGGAGTAATTGGAAATTGTTTGCATGTGGAAAGGGTAGAAAGAGAGAGAGGGGAGAAGAAATAGGTAATAGCTGAGAAGAAATAGGTGAGAGAAAGCTATTTGATGGTTAGAGGACACAGATACTTTTGGTATGAGAGAAAATGCTACTTGATCGGTCAAAGGAGAGGCTTATTTTCAACAATTAGAAATGTTGGAAAGAACTCCTCATTGTAAACACCCCGGCATTTTGCTAAAGACGTAGATTGATTAAACGGTCTCAATGACGACAAATTTCAGTAAACTAATAAATGGGAGGGTGACAATGGAACATATTGAAGTAATTTAGGGACCTAATCAAATTGATTGAAAGTTTAGGAGCGACATTGCACATTAAACAGAAGATGAGGAATCCAATTACACCAATCGAAAATTGAGGGATAGTATTATATATGAGACAAAAATTTAGGCACTTTTAGTATGAGTATCCCCTTGAAAAAATCATGTCACTAGCGGACAACGTCTATCGCTCTGCCGCAACCAGTGTTATTATGGTATGACGGCTTGTCACTACTTCCTTGTTAACCCATATTTTTTCCATCCTTCATCCTGTTTTGACAGAGATCTACTTAATTAGAAGTGTCGATTTTGTTTACTTAAATATTGCCTAGGAAAGTGCATATGCTTTGCACATGGGAAGAAAAATAAATATGTCAGGAAAGAAATAGATTTGAAGTTTTGCCTATTTAGGAAAATATAACCCAAACTCTTTTACAAGGTAAGAAGGATATAACTCACCGAACACATCACGAAGATCTGAATATAAATTTAGAAAGTGTTAAATACTTAAGAAATTATGATTCAAGTGTTAAAATTCAATGTACCTTCAAATAACAATTTCACACATTATTACTATGGTGCCGTTCTCGCTCAATTAAATAATATGTACGGGTCTTTTTATGGATTTTATTGGTAAAAGTTTGAAAAAGAAACTGTCTTTTAGATTTGCTATATGCTATAGAAAGATTTAAATCTTAAAACATCAAAATAAGAGGCAGCTGTATCTTGCCAGCCACGACAGAGGAATATTCGTTTAAGAAATTAAAAAGAAGCGATAAGATTTGTGAAATAACATGTTGAAGGTGGTAGTTAGATTGGGGCAATCCTGCACCAAAAAGGAAATTGAATCCCCAAATGTTGTCTTTCCTCATTAGCTTTCCCTTACCTTCACCTGGCACTAAAAAAAAAACTTTGCTTTATATGGTACTTCCACTAGTGTACGATGATTGAGAACGGATCGATCCGGTAGTTATGATATGATAAAGAATTGCATACGTCCATAAACATAGAGTCCATTTAAATTAGCTGTTATTTTTCACATTTTATTTATTTCGAATCTTGTGACTTTTTTCTTTTAAAATTTGAAACATTTGAAACATTACGAACATGCAGCTGTTGACATATCTATACTTTGTATGATTCGATTTTATTTTCAGTGTAAGCATAAGTTCTCTATGGGAATTTTTTTTCATGAAGGTTTGGTGTTGAAGTTATTGTTGAATTTTCTTTATTGACAATCAAGATTATTCGTATTTGAAATATTTGCAGAATCATACTAAAGGCAATTTATTCGTGCAAAAGATTTTAAAGGGAATTATAATCCTCCTCGCTCCAATTTCTGGCTTTGGGCTTATAATGAAGGGATAAGTACAAACTGATCTAACCAACCTATCATATATTTTGAGTGATATGCATCACAATCCACTTTTGCTTTTGAATTTTAATACTTCGGACAAAATTTAGGTAATTTGAATATTATTATCCCATTAGATTGTTTATTGTAGTTTTCAATATCAGGTGCTTCATCACTTTTCCTTTCAAATTTTGTTTTGGTCTCATCCAAACATATGAAAACATCAATATGTAGTCTATTGCTTATATATACACGCGCATGCTCACATACACACACACGTATATAAACAAATGGCAACTTTAGTGTTTCAATTGAGATACTTGTATCATTAATCAGAAAATGTGCACACGCTTTGCCTATATGTAAGAAATTAACTTTTGAAATATTAAGAAAAATTACATTGTTACAAAATATTTCCTTCATTAAATAATTGATAGAAATTATTGCTAAGAATACACAATTCAAAGAAATTGCAGTGATATATACAGAACGAGATAAATATTTCAAGATTTGAAAAAAATTTGGAAAGTAATTATAGGATAGATTATATTATAATTTGGATATTGAAACATTTGAGAGATAAGAAAAAAGAACCGTTAATTTACGCATTTGTCCATAGACACAATTAATTATACAATAAGTAATTAAGGATATTCGGTGAAGAATGAAATATTTCCTTAATTAAATAATTATTAGAAATTATTGCTAAGAATACACATTACAAAGAAATTGCCGTGATATATACGGAACGAGAGAAATATTTCATGATTTGAAATTTTTTTAGGACGGTAATTGTAGTATAGATTATATTCTAATTTGGATATTGAAACATAGGAGAGATAAGAAAAAAGAATCATTAATTTACGCATTTGTCCATAGACACAATTATTTATACAATAAGTAATTAAGGATATTCGGTAAAGAATGAAATGGTTGAGGTTATATGAAATATGATGTGATGGGAGAGATAAGGGACATTAACAATGCTAGTACTTAATAGATTTAATAAAACTAACAATTAATAGGTATAAAAATCAGAAAATAACTTTCATTGATAGTAGAAGATACAATTAATAAGACATAATAACTTAACATTATTATTGAAAAGATACAAAACAAGAAAAAAAAATCAACAAATACGTTAGAGATTCCATTAAATTACCCTTTGCACTGCCATCCACTTGCTCCACTCACGAAATAACATGCCACTTCGCTTTTTTAAGTGAATCCTGTCACGTCCCGCACCCTACGAGCGCACGGTCATCCCTCGATGGTCGATCATTGAACGCGACGTCCCAGGACGCGTCGCCGACCCAAACGAAACACCCAACAATAAAAGCAAGCGGAAGCAAAACTAATTAACCCAGACAATAAACAATGACAAAGGGATAGTACGAAACAATAATTGCATACCATCATAAAGTAGTCACTATACAAAACGATAACTCGGGCTACCAATTTAGAACCACAGTTTTCAAAAGGGGGCGGTGGTTGACAAACTTATCTCCTCTACAAAAGGTACTCAAAAGACAGGGTAAATGATCTATTCTTCAATCCCTGTGGTGCTCTGGCGGCGTCTCCGAATCGATTACGGTCGCGGATCTGAAATGGTTATATAATAACCATGAGAACGAGTCTCAATAAGCAACCCCCTAAACCCCACGTAGGCCAATGCGTACCCAGACAAGTCAGACATGCAATCTACACCATAACATATAAAATTCGCATCATTGTACTTACCTCGCCATCAAGTCCATGCCAACTCTACACGTTAGTCGTCACGTGATAAGGCAATAATAGTAATTAAATAACGCATCACAAATCGCTCAAACACCAACCACGCTTTCACTCAATCACTCCAACTAATTCAACCAGTCAATTCAATCACACTCAATTCGCATGCGTGGCCGAGCAACTTTCTCACGACCTCCCGAGTCCTTTCACACGGCCCGCGTCAACACGCCTCGGGCCAGCCCTCGAGATCAAGCCGGGCTCGGTCCGCGTAACCACGCCTCGGGACATTTCTCTCGACCCGCGTAACCACGCCTCGGGTCATTACTTGCCTTTCTAGCCACACCCGCGTAACCACGCCTCGGGTTGGCAGCCCTCGAGATCAAGCCGGGCTCGGCCCCGCGTAACCACGCCTCGGGACATTTCTCTCGACCCGCGTAACCACGCCTCGGGTCATTACTTGCCTTTCTAGCCACACCCGCGTAACCACGCCTCGGGTTGGCGGCCCTCGATCAAGCCGGGCTCAGTCCCGCGTAACCACGCCTCAGGACATTTCTCTCATGCACATGCACCACCACACAATCTGTCATCTAGCACGTCGTACATTTCACAATCAAATTACCAAGCTCACACCAATGTCAATCTGACACACTCTAACAACCAATTTAATTCACACTCCCCACATCGGTCCACCGACCCGACATTCATGTCGGCACATTCAACTAATCCAATTCACCCACAAGCGCCACGACAATTCGTCGGGCATATTTATCTCGATCAATCACTAAATCAGCCGCACAATTATCGCTACAATAATTCACCAATTAAGCACAATCAGTCTAATTAGCCCACACCTAATTAAATTCCTAAGCCGGTACTAAATTTCACCCTAAACAAGTCTAAAAATACCCAAAGTACTAGGTAAGGTTTAGGAAGTCACTTACTTGGTTTTGGCCCGGAGAAAATCGGCTCGGGCCTAAAATGGCCCGGGTGAACAGTGCCGAACTAGGCGCGGGCACGGGCCAACGGGCGCGGTGGCCGGCCAACACGGGCACAATGGCCGGACGGCGCGCCTGGCGCGCGGGCGGGTTGCCCCGAACGGCGTGCCCGGGCGCACGGCAAGCCGAACGGCCGAGGTGCTCGGGTTTGAACAGGCAAGGCGCCGGCCACGGCCGGCGAGCGGCCGCGCTGGTCGGACGGGCACGGCGCCAGGGCGATAGGCCACGATTG